CAGCAAACCCCAAAGCAGCAGGATGCTGACACATGGATGAGTCCACGTGGAGCCCGGGGCACTCGGGCTGCTCAGCCTCCAGCGCTGGCAGTCCCACACTCGCTGGTGGGGGTGGCCCCACCTGTACCCTCCACCAGTGACTGGTGTAGAGGGGCTGCTGGCAAAGCGCGAGCCTTGTCCTCTCTCTGCTCAAAGGACACTCTTTAGGGTCCTCACGTGCCACCCCACAGGAGCTGGGGGTCTGGTTGTCCACAAGGACATGGCAAGGCACAAGCCGGGAGCATTCACAGAGGAGGTGGCTCATGCGCTGGAGGACCCGATGACTGTTTTGCAGATCATCAAGGGTGCTGGCACCAGAGGTGGGTGAATGTAAGGACATGCCGCTTCAGGTCATTGAACAGGTCACCTGGACACACAGGGACAATGGGAAAACCCCCAGAGCCAGGGCACCAGCCCAAGGCTGAGAGCTGCAGGACATCCTCAAGGGGCCAGGTACAGCACCCTGCAGCCATGGGGCAGTGGATGCCTCCAGTAGGTGCTGAGAGTCCCTCAGCAGGGATTCCATGTGCCCCTTTATTCAGGTCTCCTGCCACCCAGTCTGGACACTTGAGGGCTCTGGGAAAGGCTTAAAGGAGAAAACTGTCCTGGCAGCCTCAGGCAGCCTTCCTGCTCTGAGCAGGGAAGGGGAGGGATGGAGGGAAGGAGAGATGAAGAACTTCAGAGCTGGTGGCACTGATGGATGAGAAGACATGTGCTATAGTCCATACTGCTGAGACTGCAGCTGGCATACTGGAAACATCTCTGTCTAAGCACGCACGTGTCCAAGCAAGGCCACTGTTCTGTCACAGCACCAGAGACGACTCAGGCTGGAGGGACCTCAGCTGCTCAGGAGGAAGACACTTGCTGCTGACGCTGCCATTGGGGATAGGGGACAATTTTTAAATATCTACCCATGACACAGAGACAGAAAACCTGTGATCAAGGGTGCCATTTCCTGGCACCAAAGCCCTGCATGGACACGGGATTCAATACTGGAGCTCATCCTGATAGCCCAGGACAAGGTCATTATGGCCCAAAGATGGGGAGGATGGCCCAGGGCATGTAAAACCAGAGTCTGTGTCTCCAACCGACTGTATCATCACCTGCAAAGTGGTTATTTGCTCCCTCCACATACCAGTTTTCCAGCACCAGAAGCCCTACAAGCAATTGCCAGGTACATTTAAACATGCCAGTTCAGTAGAACACAGTTTATCCTCTGCTGTCACCACCTGGTCCCAAACTGTCGCACCAGAAACAGGACAAAAATGACCTGGGGGTAAAAGAGAAGAGGAAATTCCCATTTTAGATAAAGAGGGAATTAAGAAAAACACATTAACACCTAGAGAGAGCACAAGGCTGGAAAACCAGGACATGAAACACAATTCCTTCATGTTATATGCAAAAAATGTAGACAACTGAGGAGGGAAACAGAAAGAATTGATGGAAAAATGATGGCCACCGAGGGCAAGATCACCAGAAGGCATTTTAATCCCATTAGAAGAAATAATGAGTGTGTAGAAAGGTGTGCTAGGCGCCAGGAGCCTCCAGCCAAGTGGGAAAATCCCTCGTTTTCTTCTGTCCATCTCTGGAAGAAGCAGCCATCTCCAGGGCAAACCAAAAGAGTTGGGGAAGAAGGTGATGAAGGTGGTGGGGAGGGAAGTATTTGCTCCAACAGACCATTTTTGGGTGGCGAGCCCTGGTGCCTTGCACCCACTGGCCTGGGAGGGTAAATGGCCACCACCCCCGGGGAAGGGAGGGGAGAGGCAGCGATGCAGCGATTCCCCAGAGAAACTCCCGCCAGACCCAGTGTCCCCACATAGCCAAAGTCTTGGCAGCAGGAGATGTGGTCCCCAAGCCCTCCACGCGCAGGGCCTGCACTGTGCCAGACATGGACATGTCTGGCTGAGGCATCATCAGTGAGGCTTCACTTTGTGACCCCCAAAAACAGACTGGGAGGAGAGCAAAAGTGGATTTAGGGCTAATCTGCAGCAGCCAGGGTCAAAATACTAACCACTGCACTGCAGCACATCCATTGCTTCACAAGTGGCCGGGGCTGGGGGGACTCACTGCTGAATGAGCACGATCCGGCAGACACTGCTGTGATGATGATGGTGATGCTTAGCCATGGAGAAGGTTTCCTCTCCAAGCTCTGCCACGTCAAGCACAGGGAAGGTGGGAAAATAACACCCCAAAACCCCCTGGGAAACACAGATCCTCGTAGCTGCTTCTGGCCAGAGCCAGACTCCCACCTCAGTGTGTCCTGATGGGAAGGGGCCAGGCTCAGCATCCCCACCCTGCCAAAACGGGCCCTTACCTCGAAGCACAGGCAGGGCCTGGTGCATGCTGCCGCGGTGACAGTCCCTGCCATTGCAGTGCTGCTGGCATCTGCCTCCACTTTGTTCATCACCGGTGAAGGAAGTGCGGTTATTTTATGCTTCCACTTGAAAAAGCTGGGGCTCCGTGGCAGCAAACGAGGGGTAGTGGGTGGCCCTAGCAGGGCTGCAAGGGAGATGGGGATAGAGAGGTGGGCATGGGGTGGGCACAGGGGTCCTGCTCCCCTCTGCCATCTTCTGATGGAAATTGGGACAAAATGGCACACTGTGACCATGGAAAGTGTCACCAGGGATGCTGTGCTGTGGTGGCAGGGGTCGCACCCGCGGCTGGGGCTCAGCAGGGACTGCTGGGCAGAGAAGATGGGCACTCACGGGGAGAGTCACCTTTTAGGGTCACTTGTACTAATGTCCAGGCAGGAGATCATGGAAAGAGGGATGCTTAAAGTGGGAAAAGGGTGGTGGGTTTTTTTTTGCCAAAGGGCTGAGCTGGGGGGTGAGATGTCTCTAGTGGAGAAGGAGCCCCCGTCACCGCATGGCCAAGAGCACTCAGAGAGGGAAAGTGAGTCTCGCACTGCAGCATAAGCTGCCTGGGCAGGCATTTCGCTGGCCTGTAAATGTCACACTTCAGCCAAGAGCCCCTCGGGCCCTCTTAGCAATAACATCAGGGCCTGGCAGTTAACCCGGATTAGAGGAGGAATTTTGCAAATGCTCCTCAGTTGCAGGGTGGAGCGGTTTAAGCCTGTCCCTGGGCCAGGAGGCATCAGACGGCAGTGCCCGGAGCTGCAGAACCAACCTGGCTCCTCGCCTCCCCCTACCCCCCCATCGGCCCTGTGGCCTCCTCTGGACACTACTCCAATGGGTTCCTGGTGATGGTGGGACCGCATGCCCTGCAGAGCCCTGGGCATGGGGGGCTGCTTGATGGACCCCTCCCGGGGGGAGGTGGGCAGGTGGATGCTGCTCACCCCCCAGGCTGGCAGGCAGCTGTGGCACCAACAGGACTCCCCCCGGACCAGTCCAGCTCTGCTGGGGCATCCCCGGCTCCAGTGCAGGGTGATGGAGGTGCCAGTGGCATCGTGGTGTGCCCAGAGGTTTTCCCGTGACCGCCCAGCAGTGTCAGCCCCTGGACCCCCACACCTGCACCCACCCATTGCCTCTGAGGAAAGCTGGGACAGCAGGACCAGGGTGAGAGCGGACACTGGGGATGGGTTGTGGCATGACACGTGTCCCACAGGCTGGGAAGTGCTCTGGGTACCAGAGATGCTCTCTCCCCTGCGCTGCTGTTGTGGACACAGCTCCTGGCTCCCCAGCGTGAGCAACCTGTCAGAGGTGCACTGGGGCAAGGGTGCAGGGCCCTGATGGTTCCCACTGTGTTGGCACTGCCTGAGTGGCATTTTGGAGAGCTTTGCCACCACCCTCTCACCATGCCCAGCCTGGAGGGAGGCAGAAATAAAGCACAAGGTCTGTTCCCCGGTCACCTCTGATTTAATGATCTCATGGAGGCCATGTATTTTTGGGCTGTCATGAGCCATTGGTGCAAAAGTGACAGTCCCCTTCACAGCGGACCCCAAAACAAGAGCCCTCCCTCTCGTATTCCAGCCTCACACCACAAACCCACAGCCCAAAATTTGCTGAGGTTCATCTGGGAGTGCGTTCCCTGCAGTCCCCATCCTGCTGTGGAGCCATCCCAAGCCCCCATGTCCCTCCTCAGCTCAGCTCATAGATGCTCTGCTCATCCCTGGTGGTGACAAGAACATCCTGAAACTGGGAGACGACACGTCCAAAATGGGACCCTTCCCAAAACACCTTCCCACAGCGGGTGCAGCAATAGAAGTCGGTGAGCTCGGCTTTGTCCAGCACCCCGGGGGGGATGGCGGCGACCTGCAGGACTGTGCCCCCCGCCAGCACCACGGACGCCTTGCGCTGCTCTGGCCCCTCCAGCCACATGCCATACGGGGTGTAACCGGGACAGGCAGCGTTGCAGGCTGGCATGGTGGCATCACAGCCCTGGGTGGGCTTCTCCTCGCTCCTCGCCAGGCAGCCTGTGGGGAGAGGAGACAGCAGATAAACCATCTGCCACTGGTGTGATGAGTGGGGTCTGTGCTCAGCCACATGAATGACCCTTGTGAGGGTCCCGTCATCCCTGCAGGGAGTCCAGGCTCTGCCCTGCATCCCAGGGAGGAGCATCTTGTGAATCTGGGAGAAGGTGGCCACCAACATCCACCAGCTGCCAGTCCTGAGCATGGCACCCGTGCAGCCTCCTGCTCCCCAGCACCTGCCCGGCACCTCCTGCAGCTCCTTCGATGTGTCCTAGTGTGGCCTGGGCAGCAGCAGGGTCTGCTGTGATCCTGGGAGCTGTTCCAGTCTGGGTAACTGCACCAGTGCTGCTGCTGTACTGGGTGCAGTGGTTTTGCCTCTCTGTCGCATGTTGGGCAAGGCTGCTCTCCGAGATGGGCTGTCCCCCCCCCCAAGGCTGCATTACAGCGCAAGCAAACAGCCAGGAAAGACTTTACTGCTACTGTAATAAAAAAAAAGGCACCATTAATAGCTGTCTGCATGCTCATGACACCCAGAACTGTCCCAGCCTGCCTAGGGACAGTGGGTGTTGGGGTACAGGTGACACCCACCTCCCATCACACAACCTGGGCAGAGGGCACAGTGGGGTGCCGTGTCCTGGGAGCCCTGGCCCGAGGGAAAGCAGATCGATGCCACCACAAACTAAGTGCCACAAACCTCACCACATTTTTGGCAGCTCGGTGCAGGCTCCCACCGCCCGCGGCCAGGGCACGGCAGGTCGCTGGATCCGGCAGCGGAAGCGGAGGGCTGAGCTGCCTCCCATCCATCAGGATGCCTGGCAGCCAGGGACACCGGCTGCAGTTACTGCTGTGGGATGACTCATTTTTGGCAAGAGTTGGGGAGGACGACTTGTCCTGCCCAGGCATCAATTAAGACAACAAAGGCATCCTGCATTGCTCCAGCGGCACCTCTGGGGCGTCCAGCCTGTCCCTTTCCAGGATCAGAGGGAGACACAGCCAGCTGTGCCAGCATTCCCAGCTGGCTCTTCCCTGCATCCCAATACCGTCAGGAGCTGGGACATACTAGAGATCATTGTGGGAGAAAGCAAGGCTGAGGACAGCCCTGGAATGGCCACCCAGTCCAAGCAGAGCCACCCCACATGGCACAGCACGGCCTGGACATGCCGTTGCACAAGCGGAAAGAACCACAGCCAAGCAGAGGTGCAGGAGACTCAGCTGGCACCAACCCCTGGTTCAGGGGGGCTCCCCAGAGCTCCCCAAGACCTTCCACCCCTCCTCAGAGGAGACAACCAGCCGAAGCTGGTGGGCCATGGCCACCCCCCCACCCCCCCACCCCCATTCCCAGCAAACAGCCACACTCAGGGTCAAGGCTGTGCAGGGAGATGTTCTCAGGGCAGTTTTGCAGACCAGCCCCAGACCACCATGCAGCCCAGGAGTGGCAGAGGTTTGGGGCCCACTGCCACAACACGAGGGGAAGCAGCCCCAGGCCCAGTTCCAGCCACCAGCCAAGAACTGGGCTCATCATCGCTGCACCCCTGGCAGGCACCCTGCACGCTTACAGACGTGCCTTTCCTTCATCCTCTGTGTCTGCTTGGGACACCAACACCCATTCTTGGGGGAAAAAACAGTGACCTCAGTTTCCCTTTTTCTCCAATTTTTAGCATGTGGTGAAGCACCCGGGCTGCTTTCAGGAGATCCCTGAGCTGGCTGGAGCAGGGACATGCAGGACAAGCCCTGTTCCCGGGGGACAGAGGCCGTCAGGGGGTGGCAGATCCCTCTGGCAGAAGGCAGGGACTCTGTCCTCACCCTGAGCTACACAACGGCATAGGGTGGCCTCATCCTGGACATGTAGGGACCAGCTCACAGGACGCACCTCCAAGCACCCAAACCACAGACTCCGTGCAAAACCCTGGGCCATCACTTGTCTTTCTTTGGTCTGTAACACGCGGAACACAAATCTGCCTTTCCTCCCCTTTCCTATTCATCGTGCCTGCTCTTGAGCACCAGACCTCCGCATCTGCCTCCGGGACCCCAATGGGAGGGACCTGCACCTCGGCTGGCACTCTTAGATCCAACTGTAATCGAAGCAACACTGCCAGCAGCCAGCACCAGCGGCCAACACCTTTCCCCACCGTGCAACCTAAAAAATTCTTTGGCCCGACCTCGCAGCACCCCAGCCCTGCCAATGCCGGGGCAGGGACACTCGATGCTCCTGCAGCAGTCCCGGGCAATTTGCTCTCCCTTCTGACACGCTCCATCAGCCGCCCTGCTGCTGGTGGGCAAAGCAAACTGCAGACCCCTCCTTCCCCACATGGAGTGGGGGTGAAACCACCAACTCCCCCAAACACCCCAATCCCATCCCCCTGGGCTCGTGAGAAAAAGGCAGGCAGGAAGGAAAAGTTCATCCCTTAAAAGCCCGGGGAGAGAAAGGCCGTGATGTCACCCAGTAGTTTTGCCTTTCGCTTGCACCAGCCCCCTCCTAATTGTGGCTCTTCAAAGGGTTGAAAATGCTACATCACTTCAAAGTGACCATTTTTGAATGGGAGCTTGTAAAACCCCTTCTCCCCCTCCCACCAAATTCTTTCCAGGGCTTTTGAAGATGCCTGCGCCCCCCTCACCGCCGTGGTGAAAGGGCCACCGGGCGCCAGGCACAGGGTGCCAGCCAGGCACGCAGTGAAAAGTGTACCGGGAAAAGGTCAGATGTCCCAGAAAAAAAGGGTTTTCCTGGAGAAAAGGGGGATTTTTTGAAGAAGGTTTTTTTTTTCTCCCCCTTTCTCCCCAGCAGAGTGGCTGCTCCCACAGGGTTGCAGCCCGGCTCGCCCAGATGCTGTGCACCGCGGAGACGGAGCAAAAGGCGTGTGTGGGGTGCATGGGGCTGAGGGGAGATGAGCCCATCCTTCTGACGTGCCGGGAGTTTTTCAGATCTACAGCTTCCAGAGCTCAGCAGTGTTTTGCACCAAAGGCTAGATTCCCACCGCATCTCTGCGGAGGAGAAATGAAAGCGATTCCTTACCAAATCAATTCGAAACACCTCTTGGGAACTAATAATCCCATTATGAAACATCTTGAAAATAAAAAGCCCTTTTGCCTCTCTCACCTCTCCCCCTCTTGCCCGGGTCTTTGCTGGGGATGACAGAGCCTGGCAGGGGGCTGCGCCCTGCAGCCTCCCCAGCACCCCGGGGTTGAGCACCCACACGTGTTAGTGCCGCAGAGCTCCACGGGCAGCAAGGATTGTCCCCATCCTGCAGTGCCGGCCCCAACCTGGCAGCTCTGCTCAACACAGAGCGATGTCCTCCTGCCCTCCCCGTGAGCTGCGGCCGTCCCCTGCCCTCACACCTGCTGCCCACCGCATCTCCAGCTCCTGCCCACCCCTGCTCAGCCGTGGGAATTAATACCCCATGGGAACAGCACAGACCACTGCTGTTCCCACCCACGGACACGTCTCACCTCCCAGAGAGTGCTGCCGTGCCCAGGGGAAAGGGGATGCTGCAGGACCCCAGTTCTGTGTATTTTGCATCAGGTCCCTCCCCAGGCTGAGCAAGACCACCCTCAGTGGTGGGATCCCACCTCTGCAGCCCAGGAGACGTCCTTGTCACATCTGCAGCAGCCCTCCTTTGTGCCCAAGTCACTGCTACGCCAGAGCTCAGCTGGTCCCACACTCCGTGAGGTGGGGTGCAGCAGGGGCTCCACCAGCCCGGGAGGGATCCCTTTCCTTCAGCCCCCGGCCACCAGCACTGAGGCGGTGGGAAGACCCACGGCAAAGCGACATCTCACGCCCCATGGCACTGCATGTTTCCCAGTGCCCAAAAACCAGGCAGCTTTGGTGTGGCCCACTGCAAGGTCCTGGTGGTAGATGCTGGGGCGGAGCCCAGCAGGAGGGATGGGGGGCACAGCACGGGCTGCCCGCAGTGGGCAGGAGGATGTTCACCCTCCCCTGCCCACAGAGAGGCCCTTAGCGGTGCGGGGGTCATATTGAAAGGCCACCGGTGACCTGTAGTCCCTACAGTCTATTCTGTTGGCTGCAACACAAGAGTCCTGGGTCAGCATTACTGGGACCCCCCACTGTGGAACGGGGGGCACGGGAGGGCCTGGGAAGGTGGAACAGAGCAGGATCGGGGCAAACCTCCTTTGGACCCATGCCCATTCCCCTTTCCCAGACCACACAGCCCTGATTTGGCTGGAAACAACCCGACCCCGTGCGTGTGAGCCCTGGGCACCCTTGGGGTTTTGATGTCGGGGCTCTATCAGGTAACACAAACTCCTCAGGGGAGCCAGGTACTTCTGCACGAAATCCTGCCCCCCAGGCCCTGTTTCTAGCCCAGGTCCCTCTGTGTCACCCCAGCTAAGACCAAGGCCTTGGGGCGCAGAGCCGGGTGCTTGTCCCTGCTGGCTCAGGCGGCTCCGCAACGGGAACCGAGAGGTGCTCAGGTCTGGCAGCACTTGTGCAAACCGAGAGCCCTTCTCCCAGCCCAGCAGCCGCACCCAGCTGTCATCGCAACCACACACAGGGGAGACTCGTCCATAATTAGGCAATTAAGGCTGAGGTGTTTTGGAGAAAGCGCACATCGTAAAAGGCTTTGCACAAGGCTGAAAGCAGACCTGGGAGCATTCTTGGAGTACAAAGGTGCATGGGAAACCTTGCCTCGGTGAGAGATGGAACCCGATAAGAGGAGTTACGAGCCTGAGAAACGCAGTGGATTGTAGGGCACTGAAGATGCCTGGTTATCTCTTCCTCCTCGATAAGGCAGATAAGCAAAGGACAAAGGACCCAGGATTGTGCAACCTGGGCTGCAGCAGCCCGGCCATGATCTTAAGACATTCCCAGGGCGGAGGAGGGAGGATGAGCTCAAGGCAAGAGGCACCTTCAGTTGCTATCATCTCCCCGTACCACTGTGGGAGAAAACCCTGCCGGCTCCCGCGCCCAGCACTGGGGTCCCTCGCTCCTTCCCAGTGAGTGTTCGGCACAACACCGCTGTACACGGTGGGTACACGCAGGGATCTGCCAACCCACAGCCATGAAAATATCACCGGCTTCCCAGCCTGGCAGTGTTTTTTCATATGAGCAAACGAAATTCTTCTGAAGAGGGGGGGCTGGCAGAGTATGTCCCAGACGAGCCTCGGGGGTGTTTCTGGCCAGTCTCACCATCACAGCCCCAAGTCCCAACCCTGTACTGCAGCTCCTTTGTCCCCATCCCTGCCCTGCTCTGGGACAGACATGAGCATGCTCCTGTGCCCCGGAGGGAAGAGAGCCTAAATGCATGGGCTTGACCGGTCTGAGGGTGAAAGGGGCTGGGGAGCCCCTAGGTCCATGAGTGCAGCCCCCTGGGGACCCATTCCTTTCCCTGCAGCCTGAGACATCTGGGGTGCCTTGGCCTCTCCTGCACACCGGCTCCAGTGCCGAAGCAGCGAGGATGCCCGGGCCGCTCCATGGGTGTGAGAGCCCTCCTGGGACAGCAGAGGGATCGCCCGCCCTTCCTATGTGGCAGCAAGATGGGTGCAATGCTCATGGCAAAGCCAAATGCTGTAGAACAGGGAAGCATAGTAGGAAAAAGCTGAATCCAGCCTCAGGGCTTTGGACACACAGTGGACTCTTCCTGCTGTGCATCAGAGTCCCTGCCTAAGGGAAGCGGGTCCCACCAGCCCATGCCCTCAGCTAACCCAGTGTGGTGGCTGTAGAGGACGGACCCAGCACTGTAACTGGTGTCACCTTGGCTTGGAGCTGCAGCACAGCCTTCCCCGCACTGTGGTCATGCAGCTCTTCCTTCTGCCTGCCTGCACGCTGCCTCCACTGGCTTCTACCCCAGCTCTGCTGCGGAGCCGAGGGCCAGGAAGGGAAGGAAAGCCCAAGTCACCACTCAGGTTGGCAAGGGCAAGGCGGGTGGCCCAGCTGGGCTGCCTGGAGCCCTGCGAGCCCCACGCCATCCTGCCACCCAGCATGGGGACATCCTGGCTGCTCCTGGGGCTGCCCAGGGCTTATTCTGCACCTGCAGGATGTGATGTTGGAGGAGAAGATGGGTAGTGCAGATCTCGCTGGTCTCAAGTACCAGCTTTGGCTGGTCAGGGAGGACGCTGATCCATCTTGTGGGTCCCCAGGGTGCTGTGTCAGGCTCCCCACAGGCACTGCAACTGCTCCTCCACCTCTCTCCAGCACAGAGCAGAGGCTCTGGCATGCCTGGTTTGCATGTTTGCATGTTTTGCAAAATGTTTCAGATACCAAGGGGTGATTTTATGATTAAAGCAGCCTTTTCTGTTTGGCGAATCCTAACCAGATCGAATGTGCTCCATCCTCACCTTTCCCAGAGACCAGATTTCATCTGGCAGAGCATCCCCCGAGCACTGGAGCCCGTTCCAGCTGGTTTTACCACACTGAGTAAGCAAGAGGCTTCCCCAGGCCAGAGCCTGTGACACATCCCATCCCCTGGGGTCATTTGGGAGCCCGCATGATGCCAACAGCCTCTAGCGAGATCCTGTGCCTTGTGGTGACCCAAAGCACTGCTGCCTCTGCCCCATCCCCTGCTGGCTCCAGGCACTCGAGCTGCTCAGAGCATCCCACTGGGAAAAAGGCATCGTGGGGCAAAGCTGCCCAGGCTTGATACTATTTCCAGCACTACCATCAAAGCTCTCATGCAGGGCAAATGCAGCTGTGTCAGGGAAAATGTTCCTTAAAACTTGGGAAAGTCCTAGGTCCAAGTTGGAGTGAGCTATTACAGGATGAACAATTAGCCTTTCATCACTTGGAAGCCTTGCCATAAAAATCCGGGAGCCAAACAGAGTGGTGCTGGCCCAAGTTTTGCAGCCAAAGCATGAGCAGCCCCGGGCTGTCTGCCGGACCCTGGGACTCAGGAGCACCTGAGCAGGCGCAGGCTTACATCAAGGGTTGGTCCTGCAGGATCCATCCCCATCCACAGCTGATGGGTGTCCCGGCATCTGTGGCTCCCGCTGCACCCTCCTGCTGCTCCCTGGAGAGGTGATGCCCCCCCTGTGAGAAGGCTCCCTCCTGGCCTGGGAAGCGGGAGTGGGAAAAGGGCATTTTCTTGCCAAGCAGCATCTGGCCACAGTCCTAGGGGTTAATCCATGCGTGGTGGCACAAATGAGATGATGTTGCCTGGGCTGGAGTCAGGGAGCTGGGGCCAGTCCAGGTGTGGGTGAGCAGCTGGGAGCTGTGGGTGCCGAACTCCCCGCACCATGCATTGGGCCATGGTCGAGGGCAGAGCAGGGCCTTGTCACCAGCCCGCTCCAGATGGAAAATATGAAGGAAATCAGGGAATGACTGAAATTTTCCTTATGAACCCACTTCTCTGGCCGCCCAGCCCAGCCTGTCCCACTGCCACCACTGTCGCCACCAAGTGATGACAGGACATTGTCATCACACCCTTCCCCTGTTTCTCTGCCACAAAACTTGACCCAAAGTGGGACATTTTGGGGACAACCTAGTCGAGCTCACACTGATGCTTGCAATCCCAGCAGCACCTGGCAGAATATAAATAGAAACGGAAATCCCAGGGTGGCCGGAGCCCCAGGGCACAGGGGACCTCCCTGGCAAGTCGCCAGGGGTCTTCACTTTGGCTTGGGTCCCACCTGCCCAGCTATGCCCACCTGCCCAGGAATCACAGCTTCTATTTTATGTCTCTGTTGCAGCAAAACTCCAACCCTCTGAGGATGTTGTGGCATCTTTGGTCCCCAAGCGCTCCGTGTGGGAGGGTGCTCCCCACCAGAGGATGCTCTCTGACAAGGTCATGCCCGATGTGGCCAGCGCAGGGCTCCTACCTGGCCCAGCACACAGGGGTCCTTCCCCAGGAGACCCCCAAGGGACACAGGGGACCTGGTGAGAGGCTGCATGGCACAACGGGGACATGGGGTGTTGCAGACATGGTGTGAAGGGTAGAACAAGGTGGTCCCTGAAGAGCCTGTGCGGAGGAGCGATGGTGTTGTGTGAGAGCCCCCCAGCTCCATCATCTCCCTCCCGAAGAGGGAAGGGGAAACCACTCACACAGCTGAATGAAAACCACAGCATTTCTATTTCCCATACTCTAAAACTGGCTGAACAGGCCCAGCTGGTCGCTGGGTACACACACAGTGAATGCCCTCACCAGAGAAACCGCTGGGGAGGATGCCCTGGCCCTTCGGGAAGTGCAGTGCTCCCAGGCTGCTGGCACCATGGGAAAAGCCACCCCACCACGTCCCTCATCCCCAGAGCCACACGTGCGGTTGCCAGCAAAGCCACAGCTGGCTGGGAGCACCCGGCAGCCACCGCTTCGCACTACTCTCTCCTATCAAGCAGATGGGGAAACTGAGGCACTGCAAACAACGCATGCGAGAGCTGGTGACAGAGCCTGGGTTGGGTCAGAGCTGCGAGAGGGGAGCACTTCCATCCTGGTGTGCCAGTGGTGGGTGTCACTCACCAACAAAACATGGCTCACTGCGGGTCAGTGCAGCTCGGGGCAGGGCATGGAGGAGGCTTTCCCTCCCCAAAGCCCACCAGATCCTCACCGGGTCGGCAGCACTGACTCACTCCTCCCGCAGCCTGACCTAGGTCAGGAGCTACCACACAGGCGAGAAAGGCAGCCGGGAGGCATTGCACAGCCCAAGCTGAGTTCCATGTCAGGCAGTGATGGCCTTAGCCTGTCACCTGAGCCACCACTGGCATGTCACCACACCACCCTGGGCTGGGCAACCCCATGCACAACCCAGCACCTCGCCGAGCAGCACGAGGCAGCCAGGGAAGTGGGCTGGGAGCTGTGCTTGGTGTGCACAAGCTCAACCAGGCACAAAGCCAGCTTGGAAGAGCTCTGTGGGTCCGCATCCAGAGAAAGGAGGGTGGCAAGGGGCCACATTCCCTCTCTGAGAGTCCCCCAGCCTGCGCCGGACGGTGCCAGGGCACTGTTCCCAGGGCAGGGAGTCCCAGGCAGGAGTGCAGGGAGGGGTCGGGGTCGGAGCATCACTCCCAGCCATCAGCGCCCACCTGCTTACCTGCGTCACCGTCCCCTGGTGCCTGCCTGCTGCCCTCCACCAGCTGCCTCATCCTCTCCCTCGAGACCTTCAGGTACTTGTCACAGTTGCACACCTGGAAGAAGAGAGAAGGGGAGGGTGGTGAGATGCCGGCCGTGCTCCCCAGGCATCTTCTGCCTGCCTGGAGCACACAGCCCCGCACTGCGCACCCCCGGCAGAGGCTGGGCAGTCCCCAGTCGCATACGTCATGGCAGGGGGAAACTGGGGCCAGGCCAGTCCCACCGAAGGGCGGTGGCGGAACGGCACCAGACACAAATTTTGGGGTTCACAAGCCACAAGAACCTCTTCTCCAGAGGCACTGCATCTTTACAGTGCTTAGCCAAGCTTCATGCCAGTCTGCAGTGCCACTGCCTGCCCCTGACAGACCTCAACCCCCTACACAATGCCAGAAAAGATCAGAAGATGAAGTTGCCTTAAAATGTCAAGCAGACACCCAAAGCTGTGACTTCAAGATTGGTTCTCTCTTGTCTCACAGGAGCTATGGAAGGTGGCCATGGACCCTAAGACATGCTGGGGTTTTGGTTGGCTTTGCTCGGCCCGGCTCTGCCGCAGCACCACCAGCGCTGAGTCACGGTTTCTAACCCCACCTTTGGTTTGCCAAAACACACCTGGAGAGGTCTCCAAGTGCCTGCACGCAGTGGGTGCTGGCCCTTAGGGAGCCAAACCCCTGAAGGAGCTCCCCAAACCCCACCGCTGAGGAGCACCCGCAGCCGGGTGCCTCAGGCTGAGTCCAGGGTGCAGCTGACAGTTGAACGTGCTCAGCCAGAAGTGATGGGCACTAAATCTTCGCCGGGAGCAACGCAGCTGG